AATAACTAGCACATATTGAGCCATGTGAACCGATAAACAACATTATGTTAAATGAAGAAATTAAAGTTGTCAGTGATTTCATTCTATTTGAATCAATAATCAACATCCATGGGAGCAGCAGTCAAATAAAGCATATCTACAACAAAAGACCTCTATAAAGTTTATATGTGTGTGTATATATATATCTATATATCTATATCTATATCTATCTCTCTCTCTCTCTCTCTATATATATATAGGCAATGCCCCCCCACCCCAGTAACCAACAAAGAAAGTTTCCTTCCATATAGAAACCTTCCCTTGACTTTTTACAATAATGAACTAATACAATACTTGTCCTTCTGTAACTGACTTATTTCACTCAGCATAATGTCCTCCAAGTTCATCCATGTTCTGTGGTATTTTTGAAGATTCTACATTATTCTTTAGTGTTGCATAGTATTCCGTTGTGTGTATGTACCATAGTTTGGTTATCCATTCTTCTGTTAATGGGCAGCTAGGTTCCATCTTTTTGCTATTGTAAATAGAACTGTGATGAACATGGGTGTGCATATATCTGTTCTTGTCCTGGCTCTCACTTCTTTAGCATATATACCTAGTAATGGGATTGCTAGATCAGATGGTATTTCTAATTCCAACTTTTCAAGGAACCACCATACTGCTTTCCACAGTGGTTGTATCATTTCCTCTATAAAATTTTAAAAAAGCAAAGATGTCACTCACTTTGATGAATTAGGTGCATCTGACCCAAGCCATGATCTTTCTAATTGCCTCACCTGCAATATGAAAGCTGGACAATGGAAAAGGAAGACAGAAGAACTGTTGCATTCAAACTGTGGTGCTGACAAAGAATATTAAGTATACCGTGGGCTTCCAGAAGAATGAACAAATCAGTCTTAGTGGAAATACAACCAGAATGCTCTTTAGAAGTGAGTATGGTGAGACTTCAGCTCACTTACTTTGGATATGTCATCATCATGTTCAGTGAAAATGAGGGACCCACTCAATGAAATAGGTTGACACAAGAGCTGCAATGGCGATCATGAAGATGGTGCGGGACCAGGCAACGTTTCGTTCTGTTGTATGTAAAGTCGCCAGAAGTTGGAGCCAACTCAATGGCAACTAACAACAACTAACTGCACATACTGAGCAGTGACCCTGTGCCAGGCACTATGGTAAATGGTTTAATTACATGCATTGTCTCATTCAATCCTCACAATGAGCCTGGGAGGGCAATACTCTTTGATTCCCATTTTTAAGGACGAAATCAAGATTCTGACAGTCTTTGGACCTGGCCCTAAGTAGCACACCTAGGAAATGGCAAAACAGGCACTCCATGGGACTAATACAACTTTCCCATTCAGTGGCTTTACATGGCTTTTTTCTAAGTTCCAAATCAGCATGAACATGGCATATATACATGTTTAAAAATGGGAGCTGTCATTTCTTTCCCAAAATTAACCAAGATGTTCTATGGAAAGAAATAACCATATCCTCAATTTGTAGATTTTGTTTTTTATGTTCATTATTTTTATTTTTCTCTTGATTAGGAAAAATCTGCTCTTCTCTGCTCTGAAACTCAGCTCAAATTAGGACCCTAATTTCAGTTTTACAAGAGGATGGGCAATCCAGCGTTCACCGTCTAGAAGACCAAAGTATTTCCAAACTTAATTTAAGCCAACATCACACAAATTCCTAATTCGCTGGAGGTAGCAATTTTAATCATCTCTAAGAGGAGCAATCATGTTTGGTAGTTTCTGAGTAAGATTTAGATTGTCAAGAGTTTAGTTTTAGCTATTTAATAAAATGTGAATTTGATTAGCTGAGAAGTGTGGTTCTTTCACTAAGTCTGAAGTCTCATCTGAGCATCCTTGGCCTTCAGCATGCCTCGATCATGCCTTTGTGTTTCCCACCTGCCTCAATGCTGAGCGAGGTGGATGGTGAGGGAGTTGGGGGCCCAAGGGTGGCCTGACAACCTCTTCCGGAAATTCATCCCCACCTTCTGTTACTGATTGTTTCCTGGAAGGGTATTCAAATATAGAAGTATCTTCTATAGCTCATTGACTGTTTAACTTTGCCATTATTGGAAGATTAGGCCCTGCCACTGCATCAACGTTACCTGACTCTCTGGTGCACCCAGACACCGAGCACATGTTCTATTGGCACTTACCTACTTGGTTAATGATTTGTTTACTTCTCTCTCTCTCTCTCTCTCTGCCTCCACTTGAGTTCCTGGGAAAACATTTGAAACTTAATCGTCACCAACATCCAGCACAATGCCTGACACTCAGGGCTTAGTCAGTGTTGGGAGGAAAGTCAAGGGCTTAAGCCATGGGTTTGGGCAGCCACATGTAACGCACTAGTCCCATGGCCGACTCTGAGTGCACCACAGGTTGCAGTTGCCATTGAGTGGATCACTGGATGGGTATGGGTCAGGACTGTATGAAGGAATATGTTACATGGAAGAATCACTAGAGGAATATGTAAAGTGTAAAATACTCAAAACACTTTGTGAAGTTCTTTATACTGCCAAGTTGCCACGTGTGTCCATCTCATCATTGGGTTTTGAGGTTGGAGGGAACACAGGGAAGAAAAGAAGTCCAACCAGGAAGTGGGGGGAGGGGCTACTGCTAAGGGGCCAAGGGGAGAGAAGCGCTGAGGATTCCTAGGCTGCCTTGCTGTGTCTGTGAAGTTAAGACTATAAAAACTGTAAGTTTTAAAGACTTCTGGTATCTTGGTAGCTCCCCACATGTATTTTAATTAGTTCCTATTTCCTTGACTGGAAAATATTTGGAAGTCTTCAAAAGGTGGCTGGCTTCATTAGGGTCAGGCAGGATGGAGAATATTTAGGCAACTCTGCTTCCCTGAATTGGGCTGAGTATAAACTGGGTAGAGTGTGTGTTGTGGTGGGCAATGCCTAGAGTTAGAAGAAGAACAAGGAGGGGATGTGGAGAGAAGGAATACCCCAGAGGTGATGGAGAATTTGCCCTCAGATCCAGGTTCAAATCAGGACCTCACTACTTGTCAGCTCTAAGACTCTGGACATACTTGGCTCACACTCTCTGAGGCACATTTTAAACATCTTTAAAATAATACTGCTTTACCTATCTCATAAGGGTGTTAGGATTAGGTAAGGGGTTAATAAATCCTAGAGGTACAGTCTGTTACCCATTCCTAAGCCCACAAATTATAAGGTAAATCAAGCAGCAGCCCCTGGTTTGCGGGGAGGTTGTAAGATGTCAGGAACCACCAAGGCAGTGCCTTTACAGAAATTGCTATCATGTGACTGACTGATTGTAGGATTGCCCCCATAATTTCAAAAGCTACCTTCCTGACAGGCAGCTGTACAAAGCCAGGCTTGAACTCTGAGGGCTCAAAACGTCTGTTGGAGGCCCCTTGACTCTTTTCCATCTCATGAGCGGCCCCTATAAAGGTCAGTTCCTCTTGCCACAGTGGGTGACAGGCCCAGCTGGGTTCTTAACTCAGCAGTAAACAGCTGAGGGAGGTGATGGACATCGAACCTGGCCTGCCAGGGCCTGCCATGGTACAGTGGTGATAGCCATGGAATCTGGCCCACTCAGCATATTCTGGCCCCAGCCTGCCCTGACTCATGAGTCATTTTCCCTGAGAAGCCACCTGTGTGTTTTTAGAGGCTAGATAGAGAAGCCTTGGATACCGCCTTGGCTTTTTTGTCCCAAGGTACTGGAGAGGCCCATGAAGGATCAACTTGATAATGTGCATGACCTTCCTCCATCAGGCCTCTCCTCACAGCACACCCCCAGAGGCCCCCTAGCATAGTGAGTGTCTCTAAAGGGAGGCAGCCATGGAGCTCAGGGATTACAGCATGATTACCAGGCTCAATGTCTCTCAGAAATCTCAGACTCAGGCAATTAGAAATAGTGTTTCAGTATTTTATTAACAAAAGAATTGGCAAAAGAATAGGTTATCTGGTAATAAACACACACACACACACACACACACGCCAATTGAGCATCATCATGTACCCACCATAGTGGTAGGTGCCACCAGTGCTAGCCAGGTTCTCAGCCACCTCAGTTCCAACTCATTTGCCCTCCCAGCTACTCAAGGGCAAGGGATAGAGAAGCTTCCGTCTGGATGCCAGGGCTACAAAGGCCAGCTGTACCTCATTCCTTTTGGAGGACAGGAATAGAATTTTCCTTCTACTATGGAAGGAAGGTTGGGCAATCCTACTTCTGTAGTGATACTGCCTCAGAAACCCAAGGAGGGGTCGCTATGAGTCGGGTTTGACTCAACGGCACATAACAACAACAACACAACAACATGGACACCTTGGCCCACAGTATTTGGTCTTCCAGAGGTGGTCAGCCTAGCCATGCAAAACTCAGCAGAGGGCAGCCTGTGACCTTTGTGAGCAGACACTGAAACTTCAGGACTAAAACAAAAGCCCTTTTCTTGGCACAAGTTCCCCACAAGACCTTGGATGAGTCAAATCCCCATACTGTACATACCTCAATCTATATAGCTGTGAATTTGGAATAATATGAACACACGAGGGAGCACTCAGAAGGAAGGGAATATTTCTGGTAAAATACTTCTTGTTTGTAGAGCACCTTTTTCCTAGGAGCTTGGCACCAACTTTGCCCCAGCCCTCAGCTCTTCAATGAAGACATCAGGAACTAACTCACTCCCCCTGGTCCTTTGTATGAACTGAGGCTGGTCTCCTCTGTTCTCCTCAAAGTCTTATTCCTCTAGTTTCAGATAAAGATAATTGTGGGTATGCATTAAAGTCTCTTCATAGTATATTTACAGTATCTAAAGCAGTTCACAATACACTGTTTTCCAGCAAAATTACAACAGCTACTTAGTGAGTTTGCCAATCAGGTGTCTGAAGAGGAGGATAGTTTGCATCATCAAGCAATGGATGCCTGACCGTCCCATTTCAGCAGACCCTCTGTAGACACCCAAAGTGAATGACTGCAAAGTACACCTCTGCTAAAGAGACTCCCAGGACAAGGACCTCAGAAAAAGACAATGCGCTTCTCATCTTCAAAGACTTTGGCCTCTTCTGGTTTTATCAAGTTTCCATTTAGGCTGTTGAAAAGGAGAAACACAAAGAACAGAAGGAAAATGGCAGGGACAGTTGTATAGATCTCCCCAGTATGTGTTCCTGATGCTTTCATGTGTCACCTGACTATGAGATTAAGGAATACACCCTATCAGAGGCCTCTCTTCTGTGTTGCCAATTAATTACCTACTTAACATGTTTATCTGGATGTCTCACTGCACCTCAAAGTGACCACCTCTCCCCAGGGTTCCTAGCTCTCTGATCTTCCTCCAGGAGTCCCACCCAGTGAATGGTCACCATTCATCCAGCTGTGCAAGTTAGTAACCTGGGGTCAACCTGGGCACTTCCTCCTCATATTCAGTCGATCACACAGTTCAATTGTTTTTCCCTAAATGTCCCTAGGATTTCTCTTTGGAACCTCTTCATTTCTTCACCACTACCATCCTGGTCTGAGTGCCCATTCTCTCTGTGATTCACTGCAGTATCTGACTGCTTCACATGTACCCTGACTTCCTCAAGTCCCTTCTCCTAGAAGAGCGAGAGTGGTCTGTTTACAAAGCAAATCTGAGCATCCCTCTTCTGCTTAATACCCTTCAATGATTTTCCACTGCTTTTAGGAAAAAAGACCAAAAATACTTATTGTGACCCAAAGATCTTTTATGGTTTCTCTCTGCCGAACTCCTTGGCCTCCTGTTGCCCCTGTCTTCCACACTGCCTGAACCCCATTGCATATCAGCCTTCTTACAGTTCTTCAAGGACCACATGCTCTCTCTGCCTCAGAGCCTTTGCATATGCTGTTCCTCCTACCTGAAACATTCTTCCTACCACCTCAGTTAACTCCTACTCATCCTTCATGGCTTAGTTTAAATACCATTTCCTTAGGTGACTTCCCCTAAAACCTCATTCTGTATTAGGTTCTCCTCCTAGCCTTCCCTTTCATAGCCCTCATCACAATTACGCTGAGTAATTATTTGAACTCTTTATTTTCTTTACTATGTATCTTCCCTCCCTAGATGGTAAACCCATGAGTCCAGGTCTGTTTTGTTCCCCACTGAATTCTCGATACTAGTGCAGTGACTGGCACATTCAAACATGTTAGTATTCAATGAACGATGGAAGACACAGAGCTGGCTCCTGGGATGCATCAGTGACCAGGACCTAGTCTGGAGGAGGTAGCCTCATGAAAAAACTACTATAATGGAGTGTGGTAAATGCTGTCATGCATGATGTTTAGGTCATTGAACACTTCTAGTTTCTGACTTTCAAGGCAGAAGCCACCAAGAGACTTCAGACTTCAAATTCTTTTCAGAGAGGGATGCGGTATAAATAAATGTCCATAGAGATCATGAATCCAAGGAGACCAGTGCATCTCAGTCAGTGATGTCCAAACAGAGCTACTCCCTGAATCCAGCTCCCCTACCCGCTCACCCACAACTGTCTGGTGTAGCAGCCTTTGAACAGGGCCCAGTGCATGAGGTCACACAAACAGGAACACACTGAGCAGCTCTGGAGACAAGCCAGGGACTGAACTGCAGATAATCCCAAGGCCAGCACTCTAGCTATCTGTCCTGCCCTCTCTGAATCTCGTAGGTTCTCCTCCCCACCCGTCCATGCATGCCTATTTCAGGCTTCTTTAAAGCCTAATGTAACAGTCCCTTGTGTAGGAACAGTGGTCACTGAGAGTCAGCAAATGCATATTTTAAAGACTGACAGAATAAAGCAGCTTCATAACCTTGTAAATCTCCTAGCCAGCTTCTGAGAAAAACAGAGGCCAACAGTCACTTGCAAACTGTTCTGGAAGCCTGCTGCCACCTTCCGCTTCCTGTCTGCCTGTTCTACTCAAGCCAAAGAATTGACAGGAAATGCAGCGGTAGCAGGCAAGCAGTCCATGTGAGAGCAGCGGGCGAGGGAAACAGACTGACATTCCGTTAGCCCGCACAGGCCTTCCAGGTTGGAGTGCGCTCGGCTTCTCGGGCGCAGATGCCCAGTGTCCTCTGTCAGTCCTGTTGAATCAATCTCTATTCTCTGTGACAGTGTGGTTCACAAGTTGTTTTCAACTGTCACATAAAATAAGAATTGACATTTTACGTTTTCAACCAGCATCCATACACTTACTTACATGGACACCCAAGAGAAAAGATGAACAAAATAAGTTTCTCCACACCATGGTATTTTGTTCTTTTCAGTTTCCTTTTTTTTTTTAAAAAAAAAAATAATAATAACGCTGGTTGCAACCCACCGTCTGGGCCTTTTATGATCCACTAACAAGCTCCAACACAAAGTTTAAAAAGCTTTAGGAACTGAGGCCAGGGAGCTGTGCCTTGATGTTTTGAGTTTTTCAGGCTGTGAAATTCTCCCCAGTTGTGAAAAAAGAAAGTAGCTTATGATTAACTACCCCTTGAGCTGAGGGCATGGGTTCACTGTGCGGGAGCCTGGATATCTCCACATTGTGAGAGCATGAACTCCTGTGGTCTGTGTCCCACAGCCCAGCTCTGCCCCTACCAGATTCTCCATGTGGCCTGTGCCTCACTCTGAAGGGCTGTCTCAGGTCCTGGAGTGGACAGCAAATTACTAAAGCACTTACAAGTCCATGTTCAGGTACACAGGGCCAGTGTCAGAATTCTCTGTTCTCAGCTTGGTTAAGCCAGTACTTTTAAGAGGCCAGATCTCTTCTGTCATGTTAACTCCTGTATCCCCAGCACCTGAGACAGTATCTTGCATAAAGAACGTGCACTAGAATGGTAAGTGTTGTTACTACCAGGAAACACCCTTCAAACTCTACAGGCACATCTATCAGTATGTACCCAGTCCCGTCTCACCCAGGCGATTAAATTAGGAAGGGGGCTGGTGAGTGAAGGTGTGTGCCTTGTGGAAGGCAATAAAGAACAGGGCTCAATGTTGTATGAACACAATGTGGTTTTCTTCCACTAGCATAAGCAAGTTCTCAGAGCAGAAACAGGAAGCAGAGAAAGAGCACAAGTCAGCTCAAATCTAGCTGCTGGCATGGGGGAGGGGCACACAGACAGTAGAGTCAGGCAGTCTGGGCCAAGCTCTAGTTTCTTCTCTTGAGCATGACCTTGGACAACTTTTACTTCACCTCTCCGGGCTTCAGTTTCTACATCTGTGAACTGGAGGTAATATCACGTACTTTGCAGGGTTGCTGAAAAGATGCAGAAAAAATAAAAATTGCCCTACACAGTGCCTGGCACACAGTAGGTGGTGCTAAGCAAACCATCATTACTGTGATTGTTACTATAACAAGTGGTGATGGGTCTTACCAAATCTCTGTTATGCCGGTGTTCTTCTTCAATGCATCTGCCAGCTGGGCAATGCCCTTGACTGTGATCTGGTTCTGGATAAGCCTGAAAGAACATATCTGTGTGAATACATAATATAGGCAGTCCCCGGGTTATGAATGTCTGACTTACATACGAACCAACCCCATAAAGCCTATTACATTAAAAATTTGAGGTATATACAATAGTTCATAATAACAAATGGATGCTACTTTGCAACGTGCATTAAAACATCATCATTATTATTACTGTATAATTATGTTAAAAATGTTTTAGTATATCTGCAAGTTTCTTTGATTTTTTTATGCATAAAAATGCACACTATACTAAGACAAACATTTGCCTAACTGACAGTAGATACGAACTATACCTAACTATTCTGACTTTCGTACAAATTTGTCTTAAACACTTAGAAACAGGACTCGTTCATAATCCAGGGACTGCCTGTACTGGATGAAACCTGCCTCCTCTGTTAGGGAGCTGTAGGGTGTAATGGCATAAGAGACAAGGTCAACGGAAGTACTGTGTCCACCTGATTTTTAATCTGGCTAAGATTGTCTAGACCAGATCCACTAGAATAAAGGACAAACATTTTTAATCTTATGTATATTTTTATAATGGGCCTAATATACTTTTATATTCATATGTAAGTAGTATAATGCATATATAGGCACTTGATATTTTTATTGCAGGAGCACCTAATTAAAAATGTTTAGAGATCATCTGTCTAAAAAAAAAAATTCTAAGAAATACATCTTGCAAAAAGGCAATCTTCCAGGTGGCTAGGGAAATGCAAGGCAGCTTTTTTAAAAGTTTTTATTGTGGTTTGAGTGAAAATTTACAGAGCAAATTCATTTTCCATACAGCAGTTCATACACACTTTGTTTTACAAAGCAGCTTTAAAAAAAATTACTGTGATTTGGGTGAAAGTTTATAGAGCAAATTTATTTTCCATACAGTAGTTCATACACATTTTGTCTCATGACATTGACTGCAATTTCCCACAGTGTAACAGCTCTCTTCCCACTTCCTCCCCATAGTTACCTCTTCCCTGTGTCGTTCTGTCTCCTGCATTCCTGCCCTCTGATCTGTCTCCCTGTGC